GCCCATAATTAAAGACATTCCAAATCCATCATGCCCTCTGTACTTTTCAAGAGCGGCCCCGGCTTCAGGAGGATTGTCAGTGAACACAGAAAAAGCTCCATGAGCTTGAAGGGCATTCTTTACTGATCTCTTCCACCAAGAGAAATTACTTGAGTCTAAGGTGGGCATATTAAAAAAAGCAAGATTCTTAACTGCAGACCTAATGATTTCTCCTTTTCATACGTTACCGAAACCTGAGAGTGGTGAGGACAACAATGGGCGATCTTTTGTGAGCGCGGGATTAGGCTTTTCAGTAGGAATGGCTAGGATCGATCTCACCCCCTTTCCTTCTTTCCTTCACTCGGCATGGAAGAAGACGAACTCAGATCAACCAGTACAGGCTTTCTTGGAAACACAGGCGTCTGGAAACACAGGTGTCTAGTCTGGTCCCACAAGTTCATGAAGAGAACAGGATGTTGCCTGAATCTCATAAATCCAGTGCGAGTTAAGATAAAAATTCTGTTTTAGAAAACTCCAGCACACATGATTTTTCTTGACTCCAAGTCTGGCTGCTGCACTCTGCTTAGCTATCTGGCACAGCTGAAGCGATCTGGGCACCCATAACCTTTGTTGGGTGATCGTGAGATATTGAAAAATTGGTATTTAGCAGAGATAATATAGCCCAGCAGTGCCAGAGTAAAATAATTCAGACTGAGAGTCCATGTGTGATTAAAATATAAAGTTTTTACTAAATTGTAGCATGGGGAAGGGTAACTGGGATGAAAATAACAACAGAGCTAAATCGGCTACATCCTTACTCTACAAAGACAGAACTAGAAGAGAGGAGATTATGGCTACTCTTCTTCTTCTTCTTCAGAACACCAAACAAAGACGGGAAGAGAAGCCATAAAATGGTAATACACCTTGACACTTTAGTCCCAATCAAATCCCTTAGATCAGGGAGAAAATTCCATCCTACAGCTAAATTACATTGCTTACATGAGAAACATGTGACTTCCTGTGAATAACATAAACAAACATTTAACCCCAGACATACTGAGTGTTTTCAACTTGTAATACCCAACAGTCTGTTGTGGGGAGGGGAAGGAGTTTGTAAGCTGCTCTGAGACTCCCTTAGGTAGTGAAGGGCGGGGTATAAACCCAATCTCCTCCACCTCTTTCTCGGAGCCAGTTTGGTGTGGTGGTTAAGTGCGCAGACTCTAATCTGGGAGAGGCGGGTTTGATTCCCCACTCCTCCACTTGCAACTGCTGGATGACCTTGGGCAAGCCGTAGTCCTGTCAGGGCTAGAGCCGTTTCTGTCAAGACCTCTCTCAGCCCCACCTGCCTCACAGGAGGGTGTCTGTTGTGGGGAGGGGAAGGAGTTTGTAAGCTGCTCTGAGACTCCCTTGGATAGTATACATCCATTCTCCTCTCTTCTCTTCTTCTTCTTCTTCTCGTGGGGGAGCCCCTCCCAGGCGGGCTGGCTCACACACACGCGCTCCCCCTTTCCCCTGCGCTCCAGCTCAGCCGCCCACCCACGCGCCACCAGCCCCGGCGTGAAGAGACTCACCCACACAGAGAGCATCACATGCCTCCCGAGAGTGTCACAGTTGTCAGGCGCACCTTCAGGCCGGCGGGCGGGCGGGCTTGCAGCACCCCCCTCCCCAGCGTGCACACTTGCGGAAAAGAGGCGCTGGCGGAGTGTCGGGAGGGAGGAGCGCCATTCTGCGTGCCCTGGCAAAGGGGGCTTTGTCTCTGGAAAGCTCAGACCCCCCAAAATCGGGTGGGCCTTGAAGGGGGGCTGCGGCACTCGAATCCGGTTCTTCTGCGGCTGCGGACCAACACGGCCGCTCTCCACGCCCCTCCTGCCGGACAGAAGACCCCCTTTGCCACTGGGTCTTGGGGGTGGGGGGAGGAACCCAGGCCAGCCCCCTTCAGTTGCCAGGTGGGTGAGGGGGTGGCACTTCTGCAGCCCAGAAGGGGGCGTAAGAGGAGAAGAGGACAACCAGCCTCTGCCCTCTGCGGGCACCGGGGCTGGGGAGGAGGCGTCTGGTCTCGCCCCCCCCCCGCTGCCTGGCCAAGGTCCCCCCCCC